AACCACCATGGCAGCAGTAATGTTTAAGACCCCAAGAATGCCATGTTTCCCTTGAGAGGCTGTCAAGGAGAGCAGGGGGGAAAAGAAACAAATGATTCTTTATTTTTACCGTCTTCCTTCTCTGCCATCTGTTTTTAGATGAAAAATAACATATGACACTATAATCCTGGTTAAATAATAAAGACTGCCTAGAGTTTTGTTCAAAATGTGACTCTGATGAGTATGATTTCCTTAGGTTTACCAGGTGAGAAAGGAGAAAAAGGCAATCCAGGTGTTGGAACACAAGGACCCCGAGGCCCACCAGGATCTACAGGTAAAGTTGTTACATTTGAGGCATCTCAATTAGACCAGGGCAACCCATATGCAAAGCAGCTCAGACCTGCATGGCCCTGCCATCTGCTTCTAGGGCTTAAGCAGCAGCAGACTCAGTTGTTCAGGCACCTTAACTTGTCCTAATGTTCCTACTATGTAATATGACATTGTGATGTCCCACAAGGTGGTGTCATTGATCACACAAGAATTTTCCTTTTCCCTGTGATAAAATGCTTCTCCAACCCTTTTTTTTTTAAATTATTTAAGAATTTTTTTTTTTTCCAGAGATGGGGTCAGGAAGGGTTAAACATTAATCTGCACTTGTTTTCTCATTGACTCAAGTTCATACCTGTGACTTGACAGAGCAATGTATATTAAGCAAGCGCATTCATCTCATGGATTTATCTTTAGCTCCTGAAAAAGCAGAGAGGGTGATATCCAGGTCCTGTTGAAACAGGTGCAAAGTTGCATTGACTCCATTAGGATATTCTGGCCATCAGAGCAACAGTATCAAGGTACAGCACTACCCAGAAGTGTATTGGAAGGGATTACTGGGGGGACTCAAGAGCTGTGCAGGCATCCAGGGCTGTCCTCCCCCACAAAACCCTCTTTCTGAACATCTGATGCTTGGTGAAACATTTGCTTTAGTATAAATTCTTGGCTGAAAGCTGTCTTTGGCAAGGAAAACAGAGCAGCAGCCAGAGAGGAGGCTCATCAGGAGCGAGTCTCTTCTCTGGCCACTGCTCCGTCTTCCTTGCCAAAAGCCAGCGGCAGCCGTTCCCGTCGCTTGCCCGGGGCGCCAGAGCTGGGACCAAAGCTCCTCTGCTCAGCCTGTCTCCTGCAACTGTTCGTAGCACCATCGGTGCTGTGTTTCCCAGGCCTGGGAAGGTGACCTCAGCTCCCTGCTTTTATGACAGAAGCTACTTCAATGTCTCATCTCCCCCTTCTACGCAGGACCTCCAGGAGAAAGTCGCACGGGAAGCCCAGGCCCTCCCGGCTCTCCGGGCCCACGGGGCCCGGCCGGTCACACAGGACCCCCGGGCTCACAGGGCCCTTCTGGCCCACCCGGGTACTGCGACCCCTCCTCCTGCGCTGGCTACGGCATGGGAGGTGAGTAGTGGGGCGTGGCGGTGGCACTTGTGAACAGCCAAAGTAAGATGGAGGCTGCCGGTGAACCTTGCGCTAGGACGTGGTAGCTCCCTAAAACTGTGTGTGTCCAGTGCTGCTTTTGTGGAGCTGCAGCACGTGGAGAAGGTGACCTCAGCGTAGTGACCAAAAGAAGCCCACCATCGGGCTCCCGCATAGTGGGGAGCCTCTGTCCTGTGTGTGTTTGTGTAGTTACATGAGCCTGCTCCATCTCAACGGCCTGTGTGTTGAACCCCCTCCTCCTAATGTTTGTGACAGCAGAGTATTTACATTGGTAGTTTTTCAGACGTGCTGCTGAATTTCCCCTTCTGTGTGCCCTGAATGGCATGAGTGCATGACCCTTACTAAACCCCTCGTAGCGTAACCTGACACGGGGATGCACGTGTCCCTCATTAACCAGTGACGCCATCTGGAGAAAATGATTCTTTCTGCATCTTCTCTGTGTCCTACTTTCCCGTCTCGTTATAGCACGGGGAGGCCATGAGAAGAAGTTAAGGCAATTACCAAAAATTACGTTGCCCAACCTGTAATTGAAATTTACTCGTACAGCACTAGTTACTACAAACATGACACATAAGGCATAGATTTGTTTCATGTTTACAGTTTAATCTGCCCCGAGCTGATTTGTATGTTTACTTACCTGAATGTTTTTGTCATCTCTTCCTATCCTTTCCTCCTCACTTCCCCTCCCCATTGTTCATTTCCTGTTTTAAGGCCCCATCCCTTACAATGGCTACCAATCCAGAAGGTGAAAGGCTCATTCTGGTTCAGGTCTCATTTGGCTGAAGGTCAGAGATGGATGCCGAACTGCTCTGTGCTTTCCATCAATGATATTGTCTACCACTAATGAACTTGCTAGCTGCTGTACATGCACTTAGCTTCCTTGTGCTGCTAAAAAGTGTTGCCTGGCCCATTTTTGTCTGTTAATCATTTATTCTGGACCATAATTGGAACACGCTGAAGCAGGCAGATTGTTCAGTGTGTAATAAGCACAGTATTACAACTGGACATTTGACAAATCCTGGTGGTGCTTTCCAACTAACTTGGCTGTCTGTTGGTGGGTTTCCAATTGCTCCTGCTAATTAATTTTGTTAAATATTTTCACTGTTCCTTTATGTGAATAAAAGATGTGTATTTAAAAATTCTATATATATATACTCAAACACATATACATATATCTATAAAATGTCAATTTCCTAATGAGCGCTTTAATTTTCTGCTCCCCTTCTCCCATGTTAACCGTATGAATACTCTTGGTGGTGGTGGGTTAAGGTGGATACGGTGAGCCAACTGATCAAGACATCCCAGTAGTGCAGTTGCCACATAACTCCTACCAAATCTATGACCCTGAGGACCTTTACGATGGTGAGCAACAGTCGTACGTAGTTCACGGGTCCTACCCCTTCCCATCCCCATACTCCCAGTCCGCCTATCCCTCACCTCATCTCGCTCAACCAGAGTTTACTCCTGCTCGCGAAGAGATGGAGGCTGTGGAACTGAGATCCCCAGGAATCAGTCGCTTCACCAGGAAGATAGCCAAAAGGGGCGTCGAGACTCCCGTACGCAACAGGGAGAAGGGAAAAAAACCCTCCCAGTGAACTGTTTAGCAAAGGGAAACAGTTCAGGTGCGTCTGTGTTTGGCCTTTTGTCCAGGTGCCTAACCTGTCATGGAGGATGTTTACAGGCTCTTATACAAAAGGAGAAAAAAAACGTGTACTTGACCAGTTGACACCACAAATAATGGTAATTATCTTGCATGCCAGAAACTTAGTATGTTAGTGGGTTGGTGGTAGATGATGATGAAAGGTCGCTTGTAGACCTTTCTCTGGAGTACTGTTCCATGCACAAGTCAAACTGTATCTAAAAACCACATCCAGCTAGTTGGTGCACATAGAACCATTCAGAAAACTTAATGGTTTGTTAGCCATGTTTTTCCAGCTGATTATGTTGTTAGTTTTGGATGAATTGCTTTACTAGCAGAGTAATATGACTAAATATTTGCCAGAGAACAATGCCTAACCAGGTTTCCTTGAACCTACCACATGTGCAAAGAAGTTTTACGTTAATGGAATATTTTTTTTTAACCCACATTATATAAATATATGAGAACGTTCCACAGGAGCACACTGATAATTTATTGTGAACCTCTTTCCTTTCTGTTTTGTATGCAAATAAAAGTGGCAAGCTTTTATACATTAATTCTGTATTTGCTTGTTTTTTAACTTGGAACAATAAATAAAGAGAAGAAAACACATTTTCCTCTCAACACTTTCGGGCAACAGTGTTTATTTTATTTTAAAGGATATAGGCACTCAGTATGAATGATATTTAGACTTATTTTAAAAATCATATACAAACAAGAAAGAGGAGAGAATAAATTATGAGATGAGGTGGTCATACCATATATAGTCCTGAGATTTTGCTTACTGATGTGCCAAAGTCAAAAGACTGGCAGCTAGAGTTGCAAAGGCAACTTGAAGCAGCTGATGATGAGAGGAATGAAAAACCCAACTCATCTGCTTGAGCAGCATGAAGCAATTCAAGATGTTAAAACATACCAGGTACATTCTAAAGTAACTCAATAAAGTAACTCAATAAAACTAAAATAAGTTTTGACTAGCACTATGGAGACTAAGCCTGAAAGCAGGATTTGAAGTGGCAGCTCAAAAATGTTCACAGGTTTAAGTTGAAGCCATAGATTTGGAACAATTAATCCAGCCCTCTGAAGACATGGAGAGAGGAAGGCGTGTGGGTCCCAGGACCATGCTCCTGCTCACCGCTGCCTAGGTTTGGTCTGTGCATGCTCAGAAAGAACCTGTCAGCTCTTGTTTCTGACCACTGCCAAACACTCTCAGCTCACCAGGAAGACGACAGATGGGCACCATTACTGTGTCATTTCAAATTATCTAGCAGAGAATTCATCCTCAGTGGTACCACAAACCATTTGCACACAGTTGAATGTCATTTCCTTACCTGAACTTGCCTACTGAGGCAGCAGGGGAGCATGGCCCTGTTCACACATGCAGGTAGCACAGCCTGGCACATACAGCTGACAAAGATATATTATTACAATTAAATGCAAGATAGGGGTGCATCATGTGATTACTTTCCCTGCTTGCACTTAGCTGTGAACACCCATGTAAACTTATCCCAGACCTGAACTTTGTGCCCCCTCCTTGGCTGGCTTTCCCCCCCTGCAGGTGTTGTACTGACACCTTCCAGAACCTCCCCTGTGGTGTGTGCCAGATTGTAGGCCCTGCAGAAGCAACTGTGAGAAGGACGCTGATGGAAAACCAGTGTTCAAGCAATTCTGCCTGTGTTGTCTCAGACTTCAAGCCTCATGTTATTGTCCATAAGTAATTTGCTCCTCCAGACCGATCATCAAGCAATGCTATATGCAAATCTGAAGTTCCTGTGGGACCAGGAGAAGGGGTAGGGCAAACCCAGGGATATAGGGAAGACAGCACAGACATAGTCAAATGCTTCAAAGGAAGGTAATTGGTGGTGTTTGCTCCATATTTGAAATGGATGGTAACAGCCTGACCAAATCCTCAAGTGTGCCTGTGCTGCCTGGCCAGCATTCCTTATGCTGTGTGTCCCTCCAACAGCTCCCACACCCATTCCCAGCCACCTGGGCTGGGGGAGCAGCTGGAACCAGTTGCTTTAACTTGGTATTTCTAATGACACTTACTGGCGCCCCACTAACCAGAACGTTAACCAGAATGTTCCAGCTATCACTGGTCATCTGTGTAACTGGTGGCTACTACCAAGCCATAAAAATACTGTTCATATTTTGCATGTTAACCAGAAGAAGCAAGACACAGATACACATGGTCAGCGTTTTCTCCAAAACTCAGTCTCTGAACAATCAGGAGTGTCTGATTTTTCCAGAATGCCCTAGGAAGCCTAAGTTTGACTGAACTATTTTGCACATAATTAACAGCTGATACCACCCAGATCTTACCAATAAATTATATGTACTGTGACTTCACACAAAAATGAGCATCTCCTTTAACCTACTGCTTTTAAAAATACTTTTACTAGTTAAGTAAATGTCATTACTGACTTAGAAATGAAGTCTGCATGTTCACTAGCTAGGAATGTTTCCGAGAATGTCAAAGAAACATAAAATACCACATCAGTACATGAAATATCATCATTAATACAACCTTTTTCTTCTTATATGTTGATTGTATAAGATTCACATAGAAAACAATTTTTCTTCACTCAAATATTGTAAAAATTGGCAGGTAAAATATCAGCAGCACCTACTATACAGAAAACAACAGCTGCTCCATTCACTTACACAACAGCTTAGGTTTGAGGGTTATCTGTGCAGCAAACATAATGAACTTGTAATTTGCAGGGAAGTCATTTGCAGAAGCAAAATAATTTTCAAGACTTATTTTGCATCATTCAACACTTATTTTCAGTTTCCTCATTTGGTTTTCATAATAAAAATGTCACTGCCTAATTTTTAATACTTTCTTTAAGTAAGGAAGGCATGTTCCTTACTTGGGATTGGGGATTAAGAGGGGAAAAAAAGGAAGAGGATCTCCATATGATCTACCTTTACTGTCTGTTATTTCAATAAGCTCTTCACAAAATCTGAACTATGTTGGGTTGGCAGCAGATCTACTCCTAGAGAGGAAGCACCACTCACTGCACAGCTCCACAGGGGTGTTTTAGTTAAACAGCTCTGTGAGTCCAGGGTGTGCATCTTCAAAAGCCGTGCCTAGAGGGAGTGGTATTCTGCTTGTCTACATCCTAAGGCAGAAAACTCTCCAGCTGACCATGTGATATCCACATATCAAGAATGAAATAGGAAGAAAAACATTCAGGAATAGCATTCAGCAGCTAGAAAGTAGAGGAGAGTCCACCTTGATGCTGTCATTCAGCACACTAGAGATTTGAGCGCTGAGCCAACTAACAAGAGTCTGAAACCCGGGAAAATTATTAAAATAAAGGCAGTTCTAGTTCTGTTCATTACCTGCCTGAAGTCACGATGCAGTTCCTGAGGCTATACTTTTCCAGTCTACATGGTTTGCTGTTTGGATGCAATCTAGCAGACAGTATCACCTCTGAAATTTATGCTGCCCTTGCTGCTTTGCAGTATTCCAGCAGTAACTTCAGCTGGGACTGAAAGGCCATTCTTTCAGCATCCAGGAAACTCCAGACACTGAATAATGCTGCAATCTTCTCCCTGTTGCAAACAAACCCCCTGTAAGCATAAACTGATTTTCCCTTAGTTTCCTCTTCCACACTCCAAGCACACCATGTGTGATGTGGCATACCATATCAGAGGATGGCCAGAGCTTCAGCGTGACAAATCATCGTCAGTGACCAAATGCTGCTTTGGTCATAACGAATGGGCTGAACTACAGGCAGAACATGTTGTGCAGAAAAGCTCTTTCTAGAAGGTTGCTGAAGACTGCAAGATAAAAATCCCACAGGATGTAAAAAAATGACCATCACAAATCTCACCACCTTCTCATTCCTCCAAGATGCATCTTTTAACAATATTTTTCTTATCTCTTATGTGTCACAAACGTATTTGGTGCCTGTGCTGCTTTCTCTGAAGAGTTTGGTTTTCTGATGTAATTTGGCTTTGGAATAAGCTTCATTTTGCTTACCACCACCAAAGTGACTTTAGTTACCTATATTTCAGTTTATTCACCTAAAAAGATAAGGAAGCTGCAGGCCTGCATAGAGGTGTGTTCAGCAAAACCTCCCCATTCATTTCTTGTGGAATATGCACTCCGCATCGTGGAAAGGTCTTCCAGAAGAACTGCATAACCTATTACAGAAGTGACAAACAGGTGAAGCCACTGCAAAACAAATAATTTACTGACAGTGTGCCATTTGTGGGAGTTCTCTGACCATAATTATTCTCTGCTTTTATGTCATTTGTTCAAAATTTGAAATAAAATTCAAGTTTTGTAACTTTAAGAGTGAGAAACATTTCATAAACAATGTACTGTTTCCATGACATGTGAATGTTCATTAAAAACTTACCAATTTTTTAATAGCATTAAACCAAATCTAATTAATATCAGATACTACAACACAGTACAGGTGGTATTAACAATATAATAGTCATTCTTTGCTGTTTCAAATACAATAATTTTTATAATATTTCCAAATCAAGTTTGCTAACACTTGTCAAAAACATTCTGTACAGAGGGCTTCACTGAGATGCACAGTTGCTTCCATATTAGAAGAATTATTTTTGTGATGGCATTTCTTCTTCCTTTATTGCTGCTATTTCTTTCGAAAGTCTTTAGGTCTGGAAAAAAAAAAAAAGGCACTTTAAGAAATGTAGAGGAACTGCAGTGGTTTTGCTTTAAGGATGCAATAACAGCCATATCTACTTTTATTTCCTTATTCTGGTGCCTGAAGGCTTTGTGCTGAAAATGAAGAGTATTTTCTGGATTACATAAAAAGACAGAAAAAAAATCAAAGAAGTTTATTAAGACCTGTAAGAATTTTAAGACACCAGAATTAGTTAGTCAAGGTGCTTCTCACGAGCCTCTCTTACTCTGAAGCAAAACAAAAAGCATCTTCAACTGAACGCAGCCTCATCGTGACGTTAAACACT